TGATGATCTTGGAAAGACCTCTCACCCGCATTGAGATCTGGAACAATGCCCATGCGGGTCCAGAAATCAACTCCCAATATAAGTGTGTGCGGCACAGATGGAACCACGAGAGCCTCAAGAAGAATAACACGATCACTCAAAGTTATGGGTAAACGAACCACCCCAGCAATTGGGCAACTCTGTCCATTTGCCACGGTGCAATTTACAACTGAAGATGGTTGCAACTTACAAAGCTTTTTCAACAAATCCCACCCAGTAGAACCAAGAATAGTTTTAGACGCACCACTATCCAACAAGCCCAGCAGTTCCCTGCCGAAAATACTTACACTCAAAAAGGGTCGCTCATCACCCTTGATATGAGCAAGTATATAATTCAGGACAGCTGTGGTTTTGGCCATTTCTAGAGATTTTATGGGGCAAGAAAAGTGGCCTAATTTCTTGCCGGCGGCAAGTTTTTTGAGCAGTCCGGGCAAGATTTGGTGGTAACCTGCTTTTTCCCACATCTATAGCAAAAAATTATTTTGGGCTGCGTGCAATGGCGAAATCCATGACCTATTCCGTCACAGTTCCAACAAGCTAAAGGCTTTGAAGAATTAATAGCATCAACAGAGGTCTCAGGATGCATCTCAAAAGAAGATTCGGGCGTTGAAAATTCAGAATCTACATCCAAAATAGCAGCATGGTAAATCAGTTTCCTATAAGCCAATTCAGGCTCCAATAGTTGTCGAATATTAGTGGGGGGTGGTACAAAACGTTGAACACGGGATTCTGTCTCCTCCACTGCCCTACTCAATTGGGTCAACTCCTGAATGCTAGAAATAGGGTGTGTGGCGAGCCGACTTTGAATATATGGCAATAAATTTCGTCGCATGATATTGAGTTTCGTTCCCTCAGAGGGCATTTCAGGAAGCTTACGAAACAAATTTTCCATCGCCACAATATAATTCAGAACACGCTCTTGCGCACCTTGGGTTCTTCGGCGAATTTCGTCCCACAAGGCATACTCATAGTCGTATGGCTGAAAAGACTTACGCAACTGAACCACCAAGTCATCCCAATCAGAAAACACACCAATCCTATACCACAACAACGCATCGCCAGTGAACAATTCTGGACATGAACGAAGAAGTTGTTCCTTGGGTACACCTCTGGAAAGTCTGAGTTCCTCTACCCGCTCTAAAAAATCATTCACACTAGTCTGGCCATTGTACTTTAAGTTCCAGCGACTTACGTCAACATGGGAACTGTGAGACCAACCTCGTTGCAGAGGGGAAAACTGCAACTCACGAAAGCGATTCGCTAGATCGGCCAATGGTACAGAGTCAGAAAGATTGGCTCTATGTGAATCACCCTGTGAACTGGGAGTCTGTCGAACCCGCGATGATGCTGGCTCGTGAACATGATCGGTGCCTCGTAAAATACCACCTGAATTTGAAGCTTGCCCAGGCCCACCATGATATATTTGAGGCTGCGAAAATTCAGATAGACCTGGAATGCCCTGTCGCATGGAGGTATTGGTCGAGGACTGAAATCGGCGATCCCTTGGAAGAACAAAAGCCTCATAAGTAGGACGATTGGTAGAAAAATTATAGGACGGAATGGGACCCTTTTGTGACAAGAAAGGCTGTTCAGTGCCTCGTATTAACGGATCTGAAAATTGAACTGAAGTTCGAACATTAGGTTGGGTGGATGGTGTACAATATCGATGCGGAGGAAGCTGATCACGCTGGAATTGGTCTCGCGATAATTGATTAGGACGGAAGGAAAATGCTACACCTGGAACATCAGCAGTCTCAACAACCTCCTCATCCGTCCCGGGTACGCTTTCATTGTCACCGTCTTGACTAGCGTTACTATTGACTTCATTCAAATTTTGATCACCGGCCTCCCCATCAAGGACTATTAGATCATGGGAAACCGCTATGTCGGTGCCAAGATTAGGTTTGGAGGAAGCTCCAGATGAGTGGACCTCGTCACCTAAGCCTGATGGCTGATCAACAACCGAACCAATATTTGGGGTAGCAACAGCCTGTGAAGCCAAGTTAAGTTGACCAATTAACCTTGCGCATTGTTGCAACAGGTTATCCTTTAAAACTTGATCCAATTCGGCTGTGGCATGAACCCTTTGTACCCGAAAAGATACGTGCATTAAGAGTGTATTTAATTTCCGAACATCGCCATCACCACTTTGAGTCCAAATATCCCGCTGAATTGCAATCAATTTACTCCTGCATAAGCAGAGTTCGCTATCTGCATCATAAGCTGAATAAGAGGGAGTAGGAATTTTATTTTCCCTTTCTAGTCGCAATGCTTCACGCAATGCAGCGCGCTTTCGCGCAAAAGTTCCCGACAAAGGAAGGCCACGAATAAAAAGTTCATATTTTAGTTCCTCACTTCCCAAATAATTGACATCCATTTTAGTAGCTTATATAAATAAATTTAAAAGAAAATATTGAAGTATTATTACTTAAATTACCAAATAAACTAAAGCGAGGGGGAAAAACAGACTTTGATCTTATGAGCCCAGAGGTCAAATTAAATGACCTGAGAAATTACTAGCTAAAATGTAACCTATAAAAAATACAATCTAAATAGGTAATATTATTAATTAGATATGACTGCAATAAAAAAAAATTTAATACATCAACCTACCCTGCTGTATTGTATCGCCAATAATAATAAAGAATTTTACTCATTAAAACGAATAAATTAAATGATTACCTTAAGTCGCTTATCAAGTCAACAATAAACGTAAACCACTTTTTGAACAAACAATTTTTGGCACACCACTACCAACCAGTGATAAAAAATCGGATCTATCAAGGCCAATTTTTAATTTATGTAGGTATCTCCATATCGCTCAACCATACCACAATAAAAATCCACTTTTTGTAATTTGTAATTATTTTCGGTTACCAAAATACGCTTGTTTGGAAAAAAAAAATACATACCTATACCTGTACCTAATGAAAATTTTCCTAAACCTAACAATATACAACCTATCAAAGAAAAACAAAAATTTAAAAAAAAAAAATTGAAAAAAATACGCGAGAATCCATTCATTTAACATTTCAAAACCAGTCGGTACCATACACTGCCAAAATCACCCTTTAAATGTGTACTTGATATCAAATATATATATATATATATATTTTTTTTTTTACTAATGTAGGACAGAAAAAAAAAATACGGAAAATCGAAAATGCACGATGGGCGCCAAATTTGCTACATTTTTTTCTGGTAGCAAAACGGAAATGACCGGAATGAGGGTGGTTACGCAAATGGGCTTAAGAAAAGGAACTTAGTTTCTACCTTATAGGGCTGAGAGTGCCAGCTAAACTCCAGTCGGGAGTGGTCGAGGGTTAAAACAGAAGAAAACTCTAGAAAATAGGTAAATTTTTGGACGCCACCCGTTTTATGGCCCTAAAGTAAGGTAGAACGTTAGCTGAAAAAAACATCTAAAACGGGAAACCTAAAGGATTCCACCCAATTTGGAAATCAAACTCTGTCGTAAATAATAAAGGGGCATTTTATTCAAGTTTGCCGAGATTCACTGTAAGTACTTCATTTAAATATTTTCAGTACCTTTAGGTAATTATTATTATCAAATCGGTATTATTCAAATCAATTTAAGTAAATTAGATGAAATTTTTGAATACTCTCTAACTAAATAAAATAGAAACAAAAAGGTACCAACGCAACGTCCTTTGCATATATGCTTCGGCTAACACGGTTGAAATATTTAGAAGAAAAATTAATAACTAATTACTTAAATAAGGTAAAATATATATAACTAATTACTTGATTTATTTGATTAAGATTCAACTATAGATGATTTATGTACTAGTGATTTGGCTTTTCAGGGTGTTTAGGTCGATTCCGTGTATGTACGAAGGGCTTTTCGAGCCTGGGACGGTTAAGATAAATTAGAACGAACCCACCTGGATATCCTGGAGTTGGTAGCGTCGGGTTATTTAGCTACGAGAGATATCAGGAAGGCGAGAAGGCGTGGGCTCACGCGTCGTGGAATTGTCGGCGTCGTGATTGCGTCACCGGACCAGAAGTTACGGGACATCGAATTCTCTCGAAATGGTATGCCAAACCAAACTTTGTCCAAACCATGGATTGGAAGTTTAGAGGGGGAATCAATAATGGAAGATAAAAACAACAGACAGGCCAGTGATTTCAGGCGGCCATTTTGTGTGTAAATCCAGTAAAAAAAAAGAACTCAAGGAATTTAAGTTTTAAACCCGAAACTTTGAGTAAATCAGCAAAAAGAATTGCTCGGGGTGCTAAAATAGTGAAATTAGCCACCCACAATCAAAATTCGGAATAAATTCCAACGTAATTCGGCAAAACCCCTGAGAGTACCGTACCTCAAATAACGCACACTGCAAAGGAGGCTACAGTACTGACTGCTTGAGGAATGAACATCGTAGTATTCACCTTTTTTTTCTTTTCTGTAATACAATTAGTTAGGAACCCCAAAAGTGTTGATTTTGGCTTGACCGTACGGACTGGTATTTTTGGTTTATTTATAGGATGGACAAAATAATTTTAAATAGCATTTAAACATTTCATTAGAATTATAATATATTTCCTAAAGAAAATTAAATTAGATATTTTCTTGGAAAATAGACCCGTAACAGATTTAGTACATGTATCTCTGTGATACAGCGCGACTAATGATGTTATAAAAACTCGCGCGCCTAATGGACGGTTAAGGATTAATCCTAAAAAATGATCAATAGGCCACTTTTACTTGTCGGGAATGTGGCAAATTATGATACTGCCAAAGGTATCCAGTTATTTGCAATTTTTACTTACTAATTTATTGAATGACTGAAATCTTGAAAAATATTGTTCATTTTTGGTTGCATCCATGTTCCTGCGTCAAAAAATATCTTAATTTGCCATATTCTTGGTACGTGAAAGTGACTTTTTGCATTGCAATATGACTCCCAAGAAAGAAACTACCAAAACGCAAAGTTTGCACTTACCTTTAGAAGAAAATTGTCAACATCGACAACAAAATAATCATCAAGTGAAGATTGAAATTGGGGCATTGGCCATATTTTTCCCTTAGTAGGTAAATAATATGGCCCTGGATTCACGATATACGATTCAGTGTAAATTATATAAAGACACAAAGTAATAATTAATATTAGACCCTTCATTCTGCTCACTAAACTCAATTAAGTATAAGTAATAATTTTTATTACTGTTTGCTCGATATCTCAAGTATGTAATATCAAAGTTTAGGTAACATATTGATAAATAATTTTACCTACTTAATTAGATTATCACCAAATATTTTTTTATTCAAATTAGGGAGTTAGTGAAGATAAAAGCAATATAGGTATGTAGTTTATAGGTACTAAAATTACTTAAGAGAGATGTCCGTGGTTATCTGAATTTAAGTTTTTCAATGTGAACAGCATGTTTAAAATAATAACAAAAAACGTATTTACCACAAATTTGAAGCTTCCATCAACTAAAGTAAAATAATTCTTCGAAGACACATTTTGTTTTTGAGGCTTGGGCCAAATAGCACCCTTGGTAGCCACATATTTTGGTCCAGGTTCAGTAATATAACATTTGACATAAACAACAGAAATATATAAAACTACTAAAATAATTTTCATTATGTTGCCAAACATTGAATAGCTCGTGTTAACATAATGGTAAATAAAGTTCGTTGAACAGATAATGCAGACATTTGTTCGCTTATAAGTCTAAATTCAAATAATAGCCCGGAGGATAAATTGTGATTCAGCAGTGTAACAATTTCATAGTCTTGATAAAAGCCAATTGAATAATGGACGGTCGTTTTTATTGAAACATCAGTCTCTGCCCCTGTACTATAAAACTTGATTAGGTATATTTTGAATATGCAAAGAAACAACTTTTATTTATGAAAAAAAAAAAAAATATATCTTGCGGTTTAGGATTAGCATTTTGGGAATAACCGAACGATACTATTAAGATTAGCATGTTGGGAATAACCGAACGATACTATTTTTAAACCACATTTAGGGCGGCGTATTATAAAAGTATTTTGTCACAATAACTAGAAGTTAACTTTTGGAATGAGTTCACTTCTTATTCTTATAATGTCTGTTTTTTTTTTAAAGATAAAAGTCAAAATGACGTTATATGTTGGCAATACAATGTAAAATTGTCAATGCTTTCAAATTTTTTATGTAGAAAAGGTTTGTGTTGCCAACAACTAAACTTTTGACTTGGGGAATTATCTTTTAAAAAAAAACAAACTTTAGTAATTCCAGAAGTTAACCTTTAGTTAGGTATTTGTCAAAATCGTTTTATAATACCCGCCCTTACAAGGTAAGTTGATACCTATTTATATGTTTTGAATACACAGGGTGTGAAAAAAAAACCGCGCGTGATAAAATTTGCCAATTTGAAAAAAGTGTTCATAAAACCTATGTACTTAAAGGAAATTACCGTCCTTTTGTATTTTCGGAGAAAAATGTTGGTTTTTCGATTATCTGCTGAACCTTATTATTGTGCCTGGCCATCAGTTTAGAAATTCTGTCGCCATAACTATAAAAATGGAGGTACAATTATTGTACTTATTGATACATATTTATTGGATTATTTTAATTTGAAGTCTGTTTGGAGGTTTGATAAGTTGTCCATTGGACGAGTTTGAGTTTTTCGTTGCATTCGAAAAAAAGAAAAATCTATACATAGTATGTTTTTATCGCTCCCCCAATCCATGCGTGGAAACTTTATGGCAGGGATGGAACTATTATGGTGAGTTTATAAAAAACATTTCACATTTAGCATTTAATATTTAACATTTTACATTTAACATTTAAAAATTTAGACCCCGTTTATAAAAGAATAAAAAATAATTTTTTCCGCAGACATCCTCGTATATTTATAAACGACGACGACGAGGTTTCCAAATTGCACCCCTAGTACTAGCCCTTTGGTTTTTGCACATCACATGGCCCTAGCCATCAGGAACAACATAGATCCCATAATGAAAGCTGAATTATTACACTTGTGTACATCCATAATTTAATAATTTTCAAAAATCAACAGAAATAGGTACACCTTGTTTATCGCACACAATCAATCAACAAATAGAAATAAATAATGGGTGACGTTTGAGGTGAAAAAGGTGATCCTGTTGCACGTGCGCACTTGCGTTTTCATTTAAGGTTTAAAGTCAGACCAATGGTTTATTACAGCAACGCGAGATGTCAATGCTGTCGCCCCTATAGTGTGCCCTAACTTGACTGTCAAAAAAAAAATAGAAATCTGCATTTGGTTAAATTATGTAATGGAACGTTTTTTCTTTTTTTGGCGGAAATTCGAAGTATTATTCTGTTTTACATAAACAGGGTTGTAGTTTCGACCAACGCAAATAATTTTGAACGTTCATCCGTCGGATTTTTTTTAAACAGTGTAGCTACAGGCGTATTTTCAACTATTTTTGCAGTAGCGAGAAAACTACAAGTTCAAAAAATTTGAAAAAAATATATGTCGCGTAGAATTGCATTAGTAGTTCGTAATAAAAATAATGGGAAACTTCATCTATTCGTTTTGAAATAAATGGTGAAAATAGTTATTTATGATATAAGTGCTAAAAGTGACATTTTATTTTGTGGAAAGGGAAGTTTGGGACACGACGCCGAAGGCGGAGTGTTCCATCCCTTTGAACAAAATAAAATCACTTTTAGCACGAATATCATACACTATTTTTTCTACAAACGCACTAAAAGTGATTACTTTTAGCACTAGTGCTAAAAGTAATCACTTTTAACACCAGTGTCATAAAATGGCATTTTAGACACTGACAGCATCCCTTAAAAATTACACTTTTAGTGACGTTTGTAGAAAAACTACTTTTTTTTTCATTTTTTGCGATATAACTCAAAAATGGCGAGTCAAATTTGCTTAAAAAAATTATGGATTAAAGTATATCGATAACCATAAAACATATATTTTTTTTGGAATTTTTGAACACACGGTTCAGAAAATAGGGGTTGACTTTAAACCTTAACATTTAACATTTAACATTTAATTTAAGAAAGATAAAAGTTGACCAACTCTTAGATGATAAATGCTAAATGTTAAATGTTTAATGGGTTTTATGAACCGCTACATTACTTTATGTAGCCGAACTTTTTTTAAATGTTAAATTTTAAATACTAAATGTTAAATTAAATGTTAAATGTTTTTTATAAACCCACCATTACTGACTGAATTGCCTACAGTTATGCCTAGAGTTATACCTGAATTTTGCTGATACAGACAACGATGTGACTTCTATGCTCTCTAATCTGCTGATTTCGTTTAATTGCGTAACGTATCTGAGGTAACTCGAGTGACTGCCATTTCAACAACTCAACTAAGTACTTTTGACTATTTACAAAATGAGCTCTATAGGGTAAGTGTACATATTTCCGATACTGTAAGAAAGTAAACTACAGAAAACACCATGATAAAAATACTAAAAGTGTATAAAATACGTAGGATACTTTATAGGATAGTTAAGTTTATTCATTTCTGAAGCTGTTTTGAGAAAAGAAAAATAATTCTACCATACAATCAATAAAATATCCCTAAATTCGACAACACTGTCGGACTTAGCTCATTTGCTCAACAAAATAGGCATCATAGGCGTAAATAGAGAAAAACATTGGCGCGAGGACACTTTCCTGCGGGACCCCTCTATCAATACTCGGTATTCTGAAAAAACAACATTCAATCCAACTCGTCGCCCTCGGAGTTAGCAAACTATTAAATAGCCTTACGGGAGATTCACCAAAGCCAGAAAATTTAAACTTAAGCAGTAATATATCCGGACTAATTGAATCAAATGCCTTGCTGAAGTCCAATAAGATTAAACAGGTTGTTCTACCCATATCCTCAGCTCGGAATATATCATCTGTGATATTGAGCAAGGCAGTCGACGTAAAGTCTGTCGATTTTAATCTGATACTCCATAGGAATGTAAGCTGGTAGCGGTAGCTCCCTACGTTAGAACGCTAATGTTCACCTGATGTCACACCTGTTTTTGCCATATGCTTCACCCCCTCGCTTTTCCTACGGAAAGTGTCATATTAAAGTGACGGACAATACTATGGTGAGCTCTGAACCCCGATTGTGTTGGTAGTTGTATTCTTTCATTGTTTAAAAAATCATACACTTGCTCAGCGAAGGTAGCCGCTTCTTATATTTTTGACATAACTGGTAAAACACTGATAGGCCGGAAATCAGCAGCGGTAGTGGGATTGCTAATTTTAGGGATGGGTGTCACGTTTGACTGCTTCCAAACTTCTGAAAAAAACACCAGTTTCCAAATATTTATTTATGATAAGACATATTATGTGTTCGCTTAAAAAAGGTATCACATAAAGTAACATTTTCTTACTTATCCCATCAGACCCACATGGATTCGTTTTTATCGAATTCACAATACTAATAATTTTCTGTGAATCAATGTATAGTCCCCAGTACATCGACCTTAAAATTTTGTAACTCATGTACACTAACTGAGCGCCTTCATAACACCAAGTCGGACAATATTTTTCATGTCTCCACCCTGGGCGATGTGACATTGCTGCGCTAGCTCTTCGTGAAGTTGTCGTTCTGACGTCCCTAAGGAAGTTGATACATGTACGTGTAGTTTCAATGCCAATCGATTGTTTTTTACATTAAATTAACGATATCACATTTGTCGGACAAAAACCATGTGGCTTTGGGGAAGGTCCGACATCCCCAACATGTCGCTCTGGCGTCCCTAAGGAAGTTGATACATGTACGTGTAGTTTTAATGCCAATCGACTGTTTTTTGTATTACATTAACGATATCACATTTGTCGGACAAGAAATTTGAGACAATCAATGAAATAATTAAAATTAGTTTCCCTTAACGCAACGTGCATATTAGTCAGTTTATTATTTATCTACTTTGTCAAATACCTGTGGGGCCCTGTGTCATATTCTCTGATCTGTTTTTTTGATAGTTCTCCGAGTATTTACGGAAATTATTTAGTGAACGGTCATTCAAAACCACGCGTGTGAGAAAGAATGGATATTCAGTCGTGTTTTTTGTGCAATCTCAGGAGTGATGTTTTAAAATTACATTGTTATTCATAATTATTTTTGTCGGACATACATGTATCAACTTCCTTAGGGACGCCACAGCGACATGTTGGGGGCGTCGGACTCCCCCCAAAGACACGTGATTTTTGTCCGACCTATGTGATATCAATAATGTAACATAGAAATCAGTGGATTGGCATCAAAACCACACGTACATGTATGAACTTCCTCAGGGACGCCACAGCGACACGTTGAGGGCGTCGAACCTTCCCTAAAGCCACATGGTTTTTGTCCGACAAATGTGATATCGTTAATGTAATATAAAAAACAGTCGATTGGCATTGAAACTACACGTACATGTATCAATTTCCTTAGGGACGTCAGAACAACAACTTCACGAAGAGCTAGCGCGGCAATGTCCCATTGCCCAGGGTGGAGATATGAAAAATATTGTCCGACTTGGTGTTATGAAGCCGCTCAGGAAGTTTGGCGTATACATGAGTTACAAAATTTTAGGGTCGATGTATGTACTGGGGACTATTATTTAAAGTTGAATTTTTCTATAAATTCTTTAAAGTGCTTGTTTTCATAGTTGGTGGTTTTAAAATCATCCGATAATTCAACGTTAAGCCTAAGGAATACTATCCAAAAAGAAATTGTCAAAGTCCGTCGAACTAGAGATTTTCCTCAATTTATAATTCTGAGAGGAACTACAAACATTAAGCAACCTGCCTTAACGAATGCCAGAAAGCCCCTAGATCAATCTTGAAAGAGTGCTGCAAGTAAGCTTTTTTTCTGAGGTGGAAAGTATTTCATTACTGTCGAGAGACAGTAATGAAACTTTTCACCGAGGTATGTATACTATTTTATTTGCATTTTGAAATTTTTATTTGAATTAAAACTAAAAAAAAAACAATAATTGACAATTTCATTTACTTTCGGCCCAAGGGAGGAAAGTTAACTTTCGACCCGTGGGCCGAAAGTAAAAGTCAAAAAATACAATAAATTTCAAAAATTTCATTTACTTTCGGCCCACGGGAGAGAATAATACCACGAGTGTATTGATAAAATATCTTCGAAATGGGACTATCTATACACCTACCAAGTTTGGCTAATCCTCCGCCAAACACCATGTAGATATATCAAAACTAGAAAGCTCACAATTGTAAAGCAAAATGAAAAAGTGCATAAAGGAATAATGCATAAAAGTAAAAGAAAACAATTACTATGTTACCTACGATTACATAGGAAAAATAAAATTTAGGGACACGCTTTATAGCAGATTTAAAAATTTTCCAAATGAATACACAGAAACGTTTTGCCGACAATATGGATATAACAACCATGCTCAATAGACATTTTTCAAATATTAAAAATAGGCCCATGCTGCACAAATACCGGACACAACTGCAAATATCTCTCAAGAATAAGAAAAGCTAATCAAAGGAAATTTCTTCAACCAACAGATTTTCGTACTGCAAACATTTTTAATGGTATTAGAAAACAAAGGTGCGACAGGTAGTGATATAGTGAAAAGGAATGAACAATATGAACAAAAAACTAAAAAGACCACGGTGGTATCTCCAAAAACATTAATGGAATCCCCTTTAGCTCAACTATTAACTATTTCTATAGGTAATTTTTCAACATCGTCTTTGGAAACCTTGTCGGGGCGTACCGCTGATCTTTTAAGATGCATCAAGATTCAGATAAAGATGTAAGTCAAATAACATATTTTGCCGCTTCCCTTGGACAACGTTTCATAATTCCTCTTGAGGGTTTGTGAATCAGTGTATCATCAACTAACACACATCCATCTTCTCGCAAGTCAGAAAACTTCTCTTAATCACTTTTCCCTTTCCTCAGTTTAATCTTTATCGGTCATATTTTTTTCAGCTTATCACATTCTGTGTTTCGTTCTTTGAGAGTTCTTGAAAGCCAATCGACAGATTCTGCTTCATCAGAGATATGTATTAGTATTATAGTATTTCAATATCATTGTCTATAATGGGATGGCTGTGAGCGAGTTTCATTTATAATTTTCAGATAATATGTAATTTTGATAAGTCCTGATTTTCATCTTCATCCACTGTCCATCATTATAGTCAAAATAGACAAGTTATTGACATCTAAGACTGAACATTCTTGAAATAGGTATAATACAAATTTTAAGTCGTCGATCTCAACCATCTCAACTAATGTTTGTGTCATGAAACCACCATAAAATCTGCTCATTATTGACTATATGTATATGGACACAGAAAGTTTTGGGTGGCCCCTCAATTATAATTTAAAACCGATAGGTACCACATTAATGGTTTTTTGTCTTGCAAAAAAAACTGATGATGACAATTAAGATAGACGAAACGTGAGTTTGGGCCTTGAATGGGAGGGCCCGAATACGGATTTGACCTGTACCGTAAATTTTTCAAGTAACTGATAATCATGTCAACAAGCAGAATTTTAAATTTGTATTATTTATAATTATAATAATTATTGCACAAATTTTAGGTGCCAAAGTTCAAAAGAGGACAATAAATATTTAATCGGTATTTATTGGGATTAAACAGAAGTGAATAAATTTTAATCAGTCTAACAAAGTTTATAAACAAGTTCGTACCCAGTTCAGGCAATCAGTTATTCTTCGATAAAAATCTATAATGTAAAGTGGCAGGCGATAGATTTCTATTTAATCAGAAGCAACATAAATATTAGATATCTAGTATTAAAAGTCACGGTGGTGGCTCGGTCAAAGTCATGAAGAGTTTTTGTTTTGTTGTGTCAATTATTTTAATATGGTCATTACGATCAATAAAATGTAGTATTCCAGGACCAGCAGTAAAGGCTTCTAAAGGAGAGGTATGGCCTAAACCTCAACAACAAAATGTGTCTGATAAATATTTTGTTTTTCGACCGAGAAATTTTGAATTTGAGGTAAGCGTTTGACAGTTATAAAAATCAATTGTATTCACCTGAGCTTTTTCTCTATTCAGATTGCTAAAGGAAGTTCAAACTGTGGATTCATTCAAAACGCATTGAACAGATATTTTAAAATTCTCCAAGAAAACCAGGTTATTTTAGACAAACAAACCAAACATCGCGGCATCTATAAATATAAAAAATCTTGGGTGCAAGATGATGATTATCAGGGCTATATTGATTGTTTAACAGTGAATTTAACTGGAGGATGTGATAATAACTTATATCCTGATATTGATATGGATGAAAAATGTAAGAAATTAATTTAAGTCCAAACAAAATTCCTAAAAACGATTGTTTTTTGAGTGTTTGAAAATTAGGGATGTTTTTCCATGATACTGAAGGAGAAGGCGAGGGATGATCAGTTTATGAAGGTCCATATACGAAAAAACTTTGACTTCCTCTATTTTTTTGGGAACTAAATACAGAGCTGTACAAATTTTTGATCCCACACTTTTTTCTTCTACATCATACAATCAAGGTCCTTATTCTTGGAACAGGAGAGCAGCGGAACTCTCGTTCTCCTGGAAACGCTGCTCCCTGTTCCAAGAATAAGGACCCTGATTTTATGATCGGAGTCGGATCGGAAGAATGCATTATAGATGTGTCCCGGGCTTTAGTCGGGGACGCGAAATGTAAATGATTTATATCAAATAATTTCATTGATTAATATTTGGCATTTGCTTTCTTCTTCTCTGTCAGCCTTGATTGATTAATTTAATAATGGATATACCATGCTCATCTCATCCTTTTTATCAATTATTTTTATGATATCTGTTTTTCTCACTTGTGGTCTTCGTATTCCTCTTTCTTTTTTTTTGACATGGTCTTAATTTAACCATTGTGTGCGCCCGCCTGTCAGCCCTTTGTCTCTCCACTCGCCCCACCCCTTTCCACTTGGAACTTGCCATGTGCTCCAGAATGTCTGTTACTTTCGTTCTGCCTCGGTGAGTTGCCGTTTACTCCTTCTCTTGACAGAACCTACAGTCTGTTTTTTTTTTCCACCCCCATCAGACTTGAATGCCTATCCAGTCGGCAGTGGCCTGTCAGCTAACATACCATTATTCTGACAGCCTTCCGATCATGGCTTGGTAGATCTGCTGATCAAAGTATTATAATTTATTGGCAATACTAATAAATTTGTTAATTTTGAGTAAAAGTTATTTTTTCCATTTTAAAATTTAGAACATACTGAAAAGTGTTCCAGATATCCAGTCTACACTCGCATCTATCGTTCTCTACCAACCCTATATTTTTCATATGTGTGGGATACAAACCGTGATAGCATCTGAGACGTGAAATATTTCTTAGAAAATTTTTATTACTCTCTCTATGAAACCATTTCCTAATGGATGCTTTGGCAATAGGCTACCCCATAAAAAGGTTCTGGTCCAGACATTCGTATTGACGAGCCTTCTCGGGCTATTTTGTCAGCTCCTTCATTACCCTGATAGCCTTCATGCCCTGGTACCCATGATAGCGTCACCTTATTCTAAGTTCCTATCTCGTTTACTGCTTTGTGACGATCCAAAACTAACTTTGATGTCATTTTGTTGGACTGCACCGCTTTTATTGCCGCTTGGCTATCGGAATAGATCACGATCGTTTTATCGCAAATCTTCCTCTTCTTTATTTCTATTGAGCAGTGTTCTATTGCTGTTATCTCCGCTTGCAACACCGGTACTAGGTTACTAGTTTCCGTCCTAGGTTCGTAAATTCCAGCTCCCAATCAGTGTCCCACATTTTCTTCCGTCCTTATTGGAGGGCCACTTCTTTGATAGGGTTTGTTGAGGCCTGATTAAATGCCCCTTCTCTGTCCAGGAAAGTGGCCAGAGCTACCTCCTTGTCCTCTATTGACTTTAAAAGCAGCCTATTTAGGTCATCCAGTGCTGTCCCTGATATAGCACTTGCCTCTCCAAAGTTTTGAGCATGAACGAGGATAAGCTTATCGGTGCAACACCCAGTTAATGTAAGTATTTTTTATTAATATTTTGGGAACTAGTTGGGATAAATTTGAATATCAATCGATCAAATTTTTAAGCAAATTAATTGAAAAGAATTCTTAACAATTCAATAGTGAGTTGCGCTTCGACGTAAGTTTTGACATACCGTAACTCTTCGAGGCATGCTGCGAATCAGATGATCAATATATGCCTGCGGTAGGATCTCTCAGACTAATCTTACCTCATGACGTAGACGTTGTTCATCCAATAGAAGATGTGGCAACTGCCTCAGCCTTCTACCTATCACATCCCAGACATGTTCAATGAGCGATAAGGATGGTGTCTTTGCGGGCCATAGAAAAAAGGTTACATTAACTTGTTGGAAGAAGTTTCTAGTAACTGCAGCGGTATATGATATTGCATTGTCTTGCTCAAAAATTGGATCTTGCAATTGCTGAAGGTAGGGCAACGCGACAGGTTGTAATACGTTATTAATGTAGAATTGAGGGTTCATGTTTCAATCCAAAAAAACTAGAGGTGACCTGCTTCCAACTGCTATGCCACGGCCATAATGCCCCTAGTCAGCGCAGTTTCACGCTCCATGCAAAATTGAAGTTGATGCCTTTCTCCACGTCTGCGACAGACTTTTCTACGTTGTCCTACCTTTAGCAACTGCAAGATCCAATTTTTCAACAATACAATGTGGATCACATACCGCTGCAATTCCTAGAAACTTCCTTCAACAAGCTAATATAACCCCTCGTCCATGGCCCGCCAGACTTATCGCCCATTAACCATGTCTGTAGGATATGTAGAAGGCTGAGGCTGAGGCAGTTGCCTCATCTTCTACTAGATGTACAACGTCTACGTCATGAGGTAAGATTAGCCTGGAAGAACCTACCACGGGTAGATATCGATCATCTGATTTGCAGTATGCCACGAAAAGTTAGAGAATGTCAAAACTTACGTGGAGGAGCAAATGACTATTGAATTTTTACGAATTCCTTTCAATAAATTTGTTTGAAAATGTCATCGATTGTTATTCATATTTATTCTACTTCCAAAAATATCAATAAAATATATTTACATTTACTGGGTGTTGCAATTTCTATGTCACTCAGTAAATAAGACATTCACCTGGAACCACGACCCAAGCCAGACACGCACTGTACAATCTGCATAGGTGTGGCAATAGAATGTCCCTTTTGCGGTAACACTGGGTATATTTCGTCTGGACCTGGTGACTGGAATGGTTAAAATTGATTAATGGCCCCTCTTACCTTCGTGGGTGTTACTACATCTTTTACTGTTTCCCACCCCGTCTCCCTGTTCTTCGCAACCTTGCTTTGGACGGTGGTTGAGATGGGTCATTTATTAGGGTTGTTGTAGGAAATTGGGCTTTGATGGGCAATTTCAGGTTTTCCTCAGCTGTCTTTGTGTATGTGCTGCTTCCTTTTTTAACAAATTCAACATGGTTTGTTTCGTTTTCATTTGCTAGCACTTTATAGATTCTGGAGCATGCAGGTGTCTCATTTACCCTTTCGCAGAACCTCTTCCACGAGTCCATTCTAGCTTTTCGTATCTCTTTATTATACTCTAAGGTCCCTGTCATTCTTGGCTTTGGCTTTATTAAATAGCCTTCTCACGATTTCCCTTAGTTGGCCAAGTTTACCGTTCCACCAGACGGTAGTTCCATTCTGTTTTCAGGTTTTCTGCCGACAATTGGTATGATAAGCCGTGGTGATTACTTCGCTTATCAGTTGTATTGATTCCTCAACTTTTCCTACGTCCCTACCTTTAATTGTTATCCTTTGGGACCTTTGGTTTCTTCGAGGAATCTTAGGTATCCTTCCCAGTTTGTGCCTCGTGGATTTCTAAACGGTATCTCTTATTAGTATCTGCGAGGGACATATTCTCTCCTCTCCAGCAGATTTTTTCTCCCTTCACCGTGTATAGTGTTAGGATCGCTGTAACAATATCGCCGGAGCAAAACTCCGGTAATATACAAGTTACCCTTTTATTAGGTATAATACACGCACGAAGTCTAATCGCCATCCTGTCGTACACTAACTCCCCTTGGGAATTCCTGAGGCCTACCATTTTCCCATTAGTTATCCAAGGCTCCTGCAAGAGGACAATATGCAGGCATTTGTTGCACAAATCTGCGACAAAGCACTGGATTCTCTTTTTGAGGGTTTTGTTTTTAAACAATCTCCCATTTTTTCCCACGAGTAGAGCCCGCGTCAAGAGAAAAGAGTACGGTGACGACAAGTGCGCACAAATCCAATTTTGAACGCTAGCCGAACTATCGTATTGATAGTTTATTTCCTATCTACGTTTTGTCTAAAAAGATATCCGCAAAAATTTATTAAGATCTTTCGATTTTTCTTGCACTGGAGATCATGTCTGCTCTCCCTCGGTTGAGTTTAAAGCCACACTTTGTCACCAGCGCACAGCCCCACACCCTTAAAAGCTCAGAAGGAATTCTATTGAACCCACCAGTGTTATTTAGTTGGTTGATAGTTTTTCCAACCTTTTGATGTAACGAACGTCACTCAACTGGTTTTGAATGGGGTTTTGAGGGACCTTATTGAACATATCATCATATACGTTGGAATCTCTGTCCAACAGTTCCTGATAGCTGCTCCGTCCATTGAGAGTTATTAGAAGCGGGATCTTTGAGTAGCTGGGTTGGGTCTCATCTCTTGGTATAAAGGGATTTGAAGTTCAGCCTTTTCTGGAAAGACCATAGGTTGCTTTCGTGGGTGGCGCTGAAGAAGACTCTGGTATTGTTAGTGGCAGCTAAATTCGTTGTCCACCACTCGTTTTATTGTTCCCATCAAATCAATCCGGATGTCTTCTTTTCTTGTGATGACGCTCGTTGATTAATCTGCTGTCAGCGTAGCTGTTTTGAGCAGTGCTCTTCGATATCGTCGGAATATTCTGGACGCGGTTATCCTATCATGTTGTGCTTAGGGTGACTATGTATAGGGCACCTTTTCCAGCCCCTTTCCAATGCAGGGTGAGCAAATTAGATCCTAAATAGGGCTGGTCAGTCGCAGGTTCAGCACACGAGTTGCCTTACAGCGTCCTTTAAAAAACACTCAAAGGTAGCGTTCTCGCTTCCATATTAGACCGTCAGATTAGATTCAGTCAGATTAGATGTTCTATTTTTGCATACAGGCCACGAAAAGGGTTGGAAAGTAAATCGATGTTGATTAGAACGAAGGGAAATTTACGAGTGGCTCCTGGGGATAAAATGGCAAATTCGATTTTCCTTATGTCAGGTGCCCTAAAATCTACTTATATATACGAAATATCCATTCGCGCCACTCAAGCCAATATGTTGTTCGGGCTAGTTATGTAGTACATTTTCATCCTTTCGAAGGGCTTGTGTGGAAAAATTCCTTACAAGATTAAGCTTCTATTTCAACAGATTAGCTACCGGTTCACACTCAACCCTTTGGTTTTCCGAAGCCAGCTTTAATCCTTTAGTGAACACGGCTTGCGTGAAAATATTGACACCAGACACCTTTTTCTTCTATTTTTCGTAGACACCTTGTACAAAAAGCTTTTAAATTTCTAGACAAATTATGGGTCACACCAGATAGAACCGAGTTACAAGCAACATCAATTTGGGGAATTTTAAGAGGTCTAGAAACATTTTCTCAGCTCGTTTATCTTGGAGATGATGGTTTAACGGTAGGTATTTGATTTATTTTATTTTTTAGTAGATTATATTTATTACTTAATACGAATTTTAGTTGAGAATAAATGCAACAGTAATTAAAGATTATCCCCGCTACAAACATAGAGGATTGCTCATCGATACTTCAAGGCATTTTATCCCTATGGATAAGATATACTTGACTTTGGATGCTTTGGCTTATAACAAAATGAATGTTCTACACTGGCATATTGTTGACGATCAGAGTTTCCCTTATTTCAGTGAAAAATTTCCAGAATTGAGGTAAGAAATAACTAGTTTATAATATATTTAATCTATAGGACAAGACGAATTTCTATGTTTATAATACTTAAATACTTCTTTAGTGAACAAGGAGCATACAATAAATACACAAAAGTATATATGCCAGAAGATATCGAAAATGTCATAGAGTATGCAAGAATCAGGGGCATCAGGGTTTTACCGGAATTTGACACTCCTGGTAAGTTAGGTACCTATTTAGTTTATTTGACATTCTACAGTAAAACGCCTCATGATAACAAACTGCAACTTTTTCATTGTATAACCTCCTAATTTATCAGTTTTTTTTTTTCAAAATTAACATATAGGTACACTTTGTTTCACGAGGGTTCATACTTTTGCCCTCCTTTTTTAACAAACCAGAAGTCATTCATTTTAATTTGTCAAAAAAATTGAATGTGTCCCTAAAAATTAATCTACGACAACCTTTTTTTTTCAAGTTTCAAGGTCAAGTATGAACCCTGGTAAAACGATCTGAACTTACTCTTACTGATTGTCCCCCCAAGTTTATGTTAAGATTCCACTGATTTTACAACCGTTTCATCTATTTTTCAGGTCATACCAGCTCCTGGGGACTTTCACACCCAGAAATCCTAACCCCTTGTGAAGTGTACAATACTTACGGACCAATGGATCCAAGTAAAAATGCTACCTTTGAGCTTTTGCAGGAATTTTTTGGTGAAGTTAGGCAGGTTTTCAAAGATGATTTTGTTCACTTGGGTGGAGATGAAGTCGATTTTATTTGCTGGTAAAAATCAACCTCCTAGACAATACTCCAAGTAACTTCAGCGTACTTTTTTATTTAGGCAAGCCGATAATAACATCTCGAACTTCATGAAAAAACAAAACCTAACTACCTACAAAGATTTGGAAAGTTTTTACATTCAAAAGGTAGTTAATATGGTGGAAAATCTTCAATTTAAATCTATAGTTTGGGAAGAAGTTTTTTCCAATGGAGTTAAATTGCCCAATGAGACTTTGGTGCATGTTTGGAAGGGTGGATGGACTTCAACCATGAAATCTGTAAGTGTGAAAACTTTAATTTACCTTAAAAAGAACAATGTGCCATCGGTCACAAGAGAGTTGTGAGAAAATGGCTGTAATAAATTAAATTGAAGTAGATAGTGCATTTCAGTAAATACTTCACGAGCTTTTGGGAATTTATTTTTTGATGAATTATTTATAATTTTCCAATATTTTGATACTTGATTTGCAACCCCTCTATACAAAGTGCGTTCAAAAATTTGTGCCAATTTCAATGGCCGCAACTGTAACTAATGATACAAATATACAACTTAAGTGAATTAAATTATGAATCTTATTATTTTTATATTTTTTACGATAAAAAGCTTCAAAACATTTGAGTAGGTGGAAAAGATGAGTAGGTAGGTAAGTACTACTAGTGCATGACTATTGCTTTTTTTCAATGTTTAGAGGTTCTTAATTGCCACTGTAGACCTCCTAGATGAAAAGTAAGGTTCATAAAGTTCCTGGTTTTCACCGCTAATAATGTTTGGAAATAAAATTAATGATTTACCGTCCATTTGTTTCAGGTAACTGAAGCTGGAAAATTTGGCCTGCTTTCCGCTTGTTGGTATTTGGACGATATCGGTGCCGAATGGAACCAATATTACATGTGCGACCCAACAGATTTTGATGGCACGCAGGAACAACAAGAACTAGTTTTAGGAGGTTAATCTTTATTTATTAAATTAATATAATTTTCATTGAAATGTTTTTTTATAGGCGAAGCATGCATGTGGGGTGAAATGGTCAACGAATACAACATAATATCACGTGTCTGGCCTAGAGCTTCCGCCACAGCTGAAAAACTATGGTCAGCTAAAGCGGACGGCTACGATTTGGATGAGCCCTCAAGAAGAATCGAGGAGCATGCTTGTAGATTGAACAGAAGAGGGATCGTTGCTCAGCCTCCAAATGGGCCCGGATATTGCGATTAGATTATTTTTACTTTAGTTTCAAAATAAACATGAAACGTAAAATGAAATGCGTCTTTTTCAAATCCATTGGATGTTTGAAATATTAGATTGTCGATTGTAACTAATTCCTTATCGTTTCTTACACCATCAGTCCGGTAGTATGTGGTCCTGCCGATGATAGATATAATCTGATCGACCGAGATGGTTAACCATTGATGACGGAGATGTCAACATCTCTATGTCAATCCGCACCTCTTCTCTATTGATTTCGTTAGGACAGACGAAGGCAACAAGTGCGTTTGCGAGAGCGAAATCGATCTCTAATCATCCCAGAGTGATTCATCATTTTCACAAAATTTTATGACTGTAACGGTGTTGCAAAGCTCAAGTTCAGCAAGGGAGTAAGTTATTCATTTGTAAACATAGAAATGTGAAGATATATTGAAAGGGCCCAAAATCATCTGGATTTCTAAACAAGGTCTATTGCTTGAAGGTCACCAAAATAAAGGTTTTGGACAGCTTTTTTCTTGAGGTTCAGATGGAAACTCTTTGGATCACATCAAAATATTAAGAGGCAATTGACTCACCGACAAAGTACAAAAACTCGATTACATCGGCGAGATTTAAACGGAAGGAAACGCAAGAAATGGTAACACAAATACCATTGCTTCAAAATCTGAGAATATGGATCGAACTACCTTTTAGATCAAGTTCAAAAATATCTTGAAAGTTGACTCTCATCTCAAACTCCAAAATCGTTAAGCAAATCTTTTCTCCCTTTTGTACGAGATGTTTGAAAAATCGACAGTAAGGATGGGGTGTAGCTGTAGGTGGCATGCAAAATTATTGTAAATCTCACTGATTAGCTATATTTTTTTGTCTACCCACGACTACGTCTCGTCATAAAAAACAATCAAATTCCGGTGCGACGCCTGAGTGAAAATAATCTCTGTCAGTTCTACCGGTTCCATTTGCTTCGGTGTTAAATTCCCTGAAATACCAAAATTAGTGTATTAAGCCTAATAAGATCTACATGTTTATAGCTAATTTTCTTGATCGATGAACAATAATTTGAATAAATAATCAATTTATTTTTGAATAGATGACCTGACAAAAATTCACCTAATAATTTTTAAAAAAGTTGACTTTTAAAAAATGCTTTGCTTTATAAATAATAGTTCTACAACCAGTTCCACAAGAATGTGACACTAATAAGTTAATGTAAATTTTGTAATATAAAAACCATAAACACGTATTTATTGGCGAATATTTACAATAGAAAACGCATATATCAATTCAATTAAATGCACATAATTCATATATCTGATAATTATTACCAAACGTATCCAAACATTAACACTTGACAGTCTATCATTAAAATAACTAAAAATGCTAATGAAGAATTTACAAAAATCCTAGTGTCTAAACAAAGATAAATCAATAATAAAATTATGAAATATTGCATCTAAAACATCTAACATAATATTGTCGATTGAATAAAAACTTTGGACTTTAGGGATTTATTAAAATAATGATAAACTACTTCAAAAATTTATATTTCAAGAAAGGAAATGATTTTCAGTATTGGTTTTCAAGTTTTTGGAGAAACCGTTTTCTGTGAGAGGTCCGTTAGGATGGTTAGGATATCATCTTTTTCTAGATCTTTGATTGTATTTATTGTTTATATGGATGGTACGTTTGTTAGGTATATAATTTCTACATCAAAACTGATGATGATGGTCCACCGGTTGAACATTGATAGTTTCTGTTACGATGTCATTGGTTACATCCACGAGATACTTAAAATCCTTTAAAAATGAGATGCTTTTGTTTTGCACTGGTTTGATTATAGGCAGTAGGAACTTTCCTGAGGTATATTGTATATTGTCAATTACTTAGGTAAATACCACTCTGTACATCAATTTTACTAAAGTGTGTCGACGAGTCAGCATTAATTTGGTATAAATTCCGCACCGAAATCCATTACCGGCAGACTGAGTCTAGTGCAAAGTACCTTAAATGGGAAAAGCCCCTCTAGCTAAGTCTCCTCCCAGTGCAAACTACCTTTAATGGAAAAATAGATTATGGGAATCGTGACTGACTAGTATAGAACGCAAACTAGTGACAATTCCGAAATTGAAAATCCTCTTTGTGGGGTTGCAGTTAAATCTTTTGGACCAGGGACAAAAATTAATGGGAAACGCCTTTCTGGGAGTATTGAACGCAGCAGACTTGGTCCAGTGCAAATTACCTTCGATGGGAAACGCCCTTCTGGGAGTATTGAACTCAGCAGACTCGGTCCAGTGCAAACTACCTTTATTGGGAAACGCCCTTCTGGACCTGAACCCAGCTTCAGTCTTCAGTCACGCCAAGTGTACAGAGTGTAGGTACCTACATAATACAGAGTGGCCTATAAGTGGTACGTCCCTCCGTAGAAGAGACGTCATTATACTATTATGAGGGTAATATTATTATTATTCAATACATATTATCTTATTATACCTATACCAAGCGGATTTCTCTCTACCTGAACCCCACCTACGCCCCCAGGTCACACTCCTGTTGTGACGTCCCAGGACAAAACGTATAGGAGTTGTGACAATATGTTGGTGAACCCGTCAAACTCCTGATTAATCGTAGTGTGATTCCGTGTTTGTGTATTACCTTTGGAAATCCATAGATATGTGGTGACTGGTGGTTTGTTAGTCATATACAGTGTGTCCGAAATTCGAGTCTCTACATGGGGATTTCGCTTATTATGAGAGATACAGGGTGGCTCAAATTGGGAAAGTTTTAGGGAATTTATTGCTCATTTATATCCTGTTGTTAAATTTGCTTCAAAACTTTCTGTTTCCTAGAAATCCGGGAAAAACTGAAAATATACAATTTTGTTTTTTGTTAATAATTCATAAACCGTTAACTTTACAAAAAAAAAAAAAAAAACATGTGGAATACCTTATCTACTTATTTTTTCTTTATCCAGTAGAATTGCCAGAAGAGAATACTTCAAAAATAGCGATTCTAGGTATTAAATCATACCTATTTAGTTTTATTCTGGTTTTATTCTTATAACTATGAGCATTATTGCCAAATTTAGCAAAATATCGGTTCCAACTGTAATTTTGAAGGACTTGCAAAACGTTTTCATAGCTTGTAATACATCATTTTAAAGGATTTTTTCGCAGAATATTATTTTGTTGAAATCGAAGATGGCCGCCATAAGAAATAAGAAAGTTTTGGTTAATAACTTGGAAACAAACGACGATCGGAATGTTTTCAAATCACGAAAATATCCGTCTCAAAAAAGTGTCTTAATAATGTTAAAGTTAGAAAAGTCTAAAGTTAACGGTTTATGAATTATTGACAAAAAACAAAATTGACTATTTTTAGTTTTTCCCGGATTTCTAGGAAACAGATAGTTTAGAAGCAAATTTAACGACAGGATATAAATGAGCAATAAATTCCCTAAAAATTTCCTAATTTGAGCCACCCTGTATCTCTCATAATAAGCGAAATTCCCATGTAGAGACTCGAATTTCGGACACACTGTATATGCATTGTAATTTCACAGTGTGTTGTAGATTTTTCTTTTCACTGTGCATGTTGGACCTCTTTCCATTTTAATGTAGTTCCCTTTTTCTAAGTAGTGTCTGCTCTAAGATGGTAAGTTTCTTCGACCAGTCTGCTGCATTGTCCTCTAGTAAGATCCTATTTGATTTATCTTGGCGTAGATTTCTGAGGCCGCTTTCTTCTTCCTTAGGTACCTTGAACATATTCTTGATTTCTTTTCTCGGATTTTCTTTTCCAAGTTCGTTCCTTCTCTTCCATTTGTATTCTTGTGCTGAAGACGGTTCGATTCTTTCTATTATAGCTATTTCTAAGGTTGGAATGTCTCTAGGACCTGTAGCAAAATTGAGACCTTAGGATAGCAGTTGCTAATCCGTTTCGCACAGAGGTCTTGATGAGATATTCACCTTATTACTAGAGTTCATTCCGGTACGTATAGTCGCTGCTAACTATTTGAGTACTCAAGAAGGTCTTGCATTTTCCCAAATATTGGCTAGTTGGTCTTCCTGCGTATGTACTTACACCACAGAAACGAAATATCCTACCTTCGACTAGACAGGGTCTAGAGAATTCCATTGCCCCAAGTGGGTAGAGACAGTGGGAATCTTCTACCATAATATATTAGAGACCAAGAGCCAGGCACTAATAGACTTAGGAAGTATTTGGAGATTGTTGTTGTTGGCCTGTACCTACGCGTGCGCAATAGTGCTTATGCTTAGTAGCACCATGAATAAATTTTGAGCCTACCTTTGTGGAAAAATAAAAATAGCTACAGTCTCGTCCTTATCTTTTCTTTTTTTTTTTGAGGTGCTGTTTTGATATAGCTTATTCGGCTGTGAATCTCACTTTTTTATTGTTTTTTGGGAAGAAATATTGGTGTTTTTCTGAAATCTAATCTAATACTACTTAAACTATAGTCCTCTATTATTAATTTAATTGAAGGTTGAAATACCTACCTATTGGATATTCTATTTAATCGATCTAACGACTCAAAATTGAATTTTTGGTGCCAAATCATGGTCTAAAAACAATAGTGTGGATGAAAGATGAAGAAACTTGTAAATAGAACTTTCTCCGCAATTATTTTCTAAATTTTGTAAGCAAATAACTTGGAGGTGACAGTCGTTGTGTATTATAAAGATCTGCTGTATTATTTTCAACACATGTGAGATTTGGGCACTTTATTTAATTGATGACATGGTATGATGCTGTGCTGTCTATATAGTTTTGCATATTTAAAGACACCATCAATTAATTTGTCAAATTTAGACAGTCCACCGTTCAACGGTTCAACACCATGTGCCGTCTAGACTAGAGAACTTGTTCGACTGACCACACAGAACACATTCTGTAATATTCTTCCGAAATGTCGATTTCTTTTAAGATTTGATTTTTTTCTCCCCAGAAGTAGATGATTAAAGGTAGGTACTCATACCTAGACCTAAGTTTTTCTTCTAAAACTTCTTGTTGGATCTTCTTTCAGCACGGGTCAGTACTGAT